TCGGATATATTCAATTATGAATTTCGAATAATTCAATACGATATTTTTTACATTAAAAAAATTAACTATTCCGATATTTTATATAAATTATTCTTATAACAAGAAATAGATAGCTTTTTCTTTCAAAATACAATTCGCCCACAGTTATCAGATATTGCTTATTAATTTTATTCTCTTATTTATTTAGGAGATAACAACGGATCATTAAGTTGTAAATTAACAATATTATTCATATATGTATATAGAATAGATATATAATGTATACTAGGTTGTAAATTAACAAATCTATGATGTCGCGTCTCTGATAAAAAAATTATGAATAAAGCTTCTAGTTTTTTTTTTCACAGATGACTTCCGCTCGACAGACGATTTCAAACGAAGATGGAAGCGAGAGTTGTTAATGAATCAAGATAATGATGTTACTGGATACTGAGCTATCCCCCAAAGATGAAGCCTTTCTTCTTTTTTTTTTTATCGGCGGAAACGCGAACAACAAAGAACACCGCAGCGGAACATTACCTTCTTTTATATCCGCCTTATTCGATTTTCCTATACGATTCGTCATACCATTCCTTTGTAAACGGGTCCTATTTATATAACACGGGGAGGGCATAAACGCACGTGTAACATGCTCCAACGATTTTTGTATACGGCCAAAGTGGGCGTGCACCAATATCGCAAACACGGGCGGACAATTATTGGTGGGGGCCTTGAATATGGCGTATGACGTCACCTCGTCATTCTCCCCTTTTTTTTTATCGTAACAAGGGGGTAGTAGCTGTGTCCTGTTATCGAAGAGAGACCACCCCCAATAAGAAGTTTCTATATACCAATTTAACGCGCGCTGGAGGAGGGAGGGAGGAGGGGGATGGACGAAAATATCTCCACTCCCGTTTCCTGCCCGTGAAAGTTCAAACGTTAATCGACTGAAAAATTGTATATTCGTTCTTCACGAATATTGATGTTAACTTTTTGTATACTTTTTGACGAGTTAAGTGTATTTCTTTTATTATGAAGTAGAATTTTTTTTTTTTATATTTTCAACTAACTTTAAGCTATTATAACTTTTTATATTTTATATTATAACTTTTTAAGCTATTATTAAGGGAAAAAAATTTATTATTTATAAATGAAAATTCATCGCTTAAGGCTATAATTTTTATCGATGGGGGAGAAAGTTTTAAAATAATTAAATGATAATTTGGAAATGTTTAAGGAAAAGATATCTATCGTTCATAATTTATCAATGGAGAAGGAACTCTTGAAATAATAAAAAATCATGTGTTGCAATGCCAGACTAATGATAATTTGTTATCGGTTATAATATATAAAAGTTTCTCTAATAAAAGTAAATAAGATATTATGTATTTATTTTAAAGAAAATGATTCGTGATTTGAACATTATTTTATAGAAAAATTTATTTAATTCGAAAATTCTGATTTTTAATGAAACTTTATACATATGTAGAATATAATAGAACAACATTTTTTTTAATTTAAAATTTTGTTTTAGTCGACATCATTAAAAATTTATATTTAAATATAATGAAAATTGAATATTGATTTCATCCTTTCAAAATCTTAATGAAAAAGAAATTTATATGCGATCCATTTTGTCCACGTTCTGTCCAATAACAAAATTTTATTAAAAAATAAAAAAAGTATTCCAATACTTTCTTATACACGTTAAATAGAAAAAATTAATATCACTTTCAATGGAATGAATATTGATCTTTCAAAATAATACCAGATTCTTATTTTTATTCCTCTTCTTCGACATGTAATACATTTTACAATAATTCATCACAATTTTTCTAGTAAATAAAAAAAAAAAGAAAAGAAAAGGAAAAAAAGAAAGAAAACAGAAAGAATCGATTGGGAAAACACAGACGGAGAATTGACAAGTGACGACGGCGGTCGAGTGTTTGTTGTAGGGTCCAACTTGACCCTACGATTGTGCTCCGTCTACCTTTACTAATCCCTCCGCCGGTTAAGCGGATCTATCTTGTGAGTTGCACGTTTCCGGTCTGCGGCTTACACTTGTACCGCCGTTTTCACAGCGAACTCCAACGATAGGCTACTTGCCTGTCCTTATCCAAATCGGCTCGGTTAATCGGGTGGAATCGAATGTCAACAACCGGTTGTGTATATCGCCGTTCGGTTAACCTTGCGCATTGCTGTTACGTATCGAAAGAAGAAAAGAAAAACATGACTAAGCTCGTTTACCGAGCTGGTGCGGTTTTGGACCTCGTTCCTAGTAACGCTATACCAAAAAACAGACCGAGTTTTTTTTCCAATTAAGATTATTGCCCACAGAATGTTGACATTCTCGAAAGGTCGAATCTAGAAGAGAAAAGTGGACACAAAATAGTACATACAAAAATATCGAAGCTTTATTTATCAAGTTATAAGTTATTAAATAAATTAAAAATCGAAATTTTCATCAATTTTTCGTTTATACCATTCCATTTTATTAATTGAAAAATTTTTCTACAAATTCTAATGATACATTTTAAAGAAAAAATATTGAAATTAGTTCCGATAAGGTATCACGTAGAAAATATTTTCAGCAGATATTCAGAATAAGGTATGTATGTTTGTCTGCATGTTTTCACGTCGAATAATCAATACAATAACAAGCGTATAAAAGCGCTCGCTTTATATTGGTGTTGACATAATATCGTGAACAAAGCGATATAACGATAACAAAACCAAGCCCCATAACGTAACAGGTACTGACATTGTATCCGATTTGAATGTTTAATACATAATACGTGTATTTCTTTATCAGAGAAGGGATAAAATTTATCCTAACCCTAAAATCGTAAGTAAATTTAAATCTGCCACTGTTAATAATATCATCAAAATAATAATCTCGAGATTTAAATGTCACATAGAATTACATAGATTTTAATTCACGTAACCAATACGAGCACAATTATTATTCGATCGACCGGTTTCCTCCGAAAAATAACACAAAACTGCGAACGGTCTACAAAGTATATTTAACTTGTTTGCTTTAAGTAAACACTCTGTCCTCCTTTCCGTGTTGTCGTGTGAGCGCTGTCGTCGCCAATTTAGTGATGTGCGCGCGGTGTCCAAATAGAAGATCGAACGTTGGATCTAACGAAAAAAAAAAAAAAAAAAAAAAAAAAAA